ACAGCCAAATGGCGCGATGGAAACATGATTTTTTTGTCACAATCATGCCATGAATGTATTCTTTACGGTGACTATCATTTGATTAGATTTTCATTAATATTTTACATAACATGCACATATTTATCAACACTTAGCTTCTGAAAGGTACAACTTTGAGGAGCCATAAAAAACAAACCAAGTGACCTAAATCTTTATACTTTATAGATTTGTGACCACAACGGCATGGGCAATGCACCACCAACAGGAAATTTGAATCAGAGAAGGGGCCGTTTTGGAAACCGGCCCTTTGATAATTTATTGACCGAGTAATTCATAACAAATCACTACGCATAACAGCTGGTTAGATTCACATCAATATGTCTCCCTCATACCTAACAGACATTCCATTCCTCCATTAGTATCGTCCTTGAAACAACACAATTTGAGAAACTCTGAAAATTATTCCATTTCTAACTTTCGTTTACAATCTACACTCAATTCTTTTATACCTTCTACGTGAAGGTTGTGGAATGATCTAGACACTAATATTAAAACTGCGTCCTCTTGTAAGATCTTCAAAGACCCGTCTTTCTCAACAAAAAGAAACATTTAATGTACCTGATTACTACCTAGTTGGAGATCGTAAGCTAAATATGTTATTAACCAAACTTGACCATAAATGCAGCCTTTTAAATGAATATCTCTTCAACGTTAATCTAATGGACTCTCCTTTGTGCATGTGGGTATCCTTATGAAAATGCTCATCATTTCTTCTTTGCATGTGGTAGATACAACGACCAACGTCTGACCATGTTCATATACCTTCATAAATATTTGCCGTTAAGTTTAGATAAATTACCATTCGGCCATGAAGACTACTCAAGTGATGATAATAAGGATATATCTATATATGTCCAACAGTACATATTGAGTACTCGCCGGTTTAGATAGGTCACGTTCCGCTTTCTTGTGTCTCTCTATGAGATCTCATAATTATGCGTTTAATAATTTGTGTCCGGTTTCCATGACTTACGAGAATGCCTGTGTTGTGTGATATCATGATTCGTTTGGTGCGGTTAAATGTACAATATAGTTGTAAGAGTAGGTGTGAGTATCATCCTTATATAAATAGCTCAATATAAAGATGTAGGGAAAATATATTCATGTGGTAGTTATAGCCGGTGTAGTAGTGGGTCATTCGGTTATAGTCGGTGTAGCAGTGGGCCATTCGGTTATAGTCGGTGTAGTAGTGGGTCATTCGGTTATAGTCGGTGTAGTAGTGGTCCATTCGGTTATAGTCGGTGTAGTAGTGGACCATTCGGTTATAGTCGGTGTAGTAGTGGGTCATTCGGTTATAGTCGGTGTAGTAGTGGGCCATTCGGTTATAGTCGGTGTAGTAGTGGGCGATTCGGTCATAGTCGTGTAGTAGTGGGTCATTCGGTTATAGTCGATGTAGTAGTGGGTCATTCGGTTATAGTCGTGTAGTAGTGGGCCATTCGGTTATAGTCGGTGTAGTAGTGGGTCATTCGGTTATAACCGGTGTAGTAGTGGGCCATCCGGTTATAGTCGGTGTAGTAGTGGGCCATTCGGTTATAGTCAGTGTAGTAGTGGGCCATTCGGTTATAGTCGGTGTAGTAGTGGGCCATCAGGTTATAGTCAGTGTAGTAGTGGGTCATTCGGTTATAGTCGGTGTAGTAGTGGTCCATTCGGTTATAGTCGGTGTAGTAGTGGACCATTCGGTTATAGTCGGTGTAGTAGTGGGCCATTCGGTTAAAGTCGGTGTAGTAGTGGGCCATTCGGTTATATCCGGTGTAGTAGTGGGCCGTTCGGTTATAGTCAGTGTAGTAGTGGGCCATTCGGTTATAGCCGGTGTAGTAGTGGGCCATTCGGTTATAGCCGGTGTAGTAGTAGACCATTCGGTTATAGTCGTGTAGTAGTGGTTCATTCGGTTATAGTCGTGTAGTAGTGGGTCATTCGGTTATAGTCGATGTAGTAGTGGGTCATTCGGTTATAGTCGTGTAGTAGTGGGTCATTCGGTTATAGTCGATGTAGTAGTGGGTCATTCGGTTATAGTCGTGTAGTAGTGGGCCATTCGGTTATAGCCGGTGTAGTAGTAGACCATTCGGTTATAGTCGTGTAGTAGTGGTTCATTCGGTTATAGTCGTGTAGTAGTGGGTCATTCGGTTATAGTCGATGTAGTAGTGGGTCATTCGGTTATAGTCGTGTAGTAGTGGGCCATCCGGTTATAGTCGGTGTAGTAGTGGGTCATTCGGTTATAACCGGTGTAGTAGTGGGCCATCCGGTTATAGTCGGTGTAGTAGTGGGTCATTCGGTTATAGTCGGTGTAGTAGTGGGCCATTCGGTTATAGTCGGTGTAGTAGCGGGCCATTCAGCTATAGTCGGTGTAGTAGTGGGTCATTCGGTTATAACCGGTGTAGTAGTGGGCCATCCGGTTATAGTCGGTGTAGTAGTGGTCCATTCGGTTATAGTCAGTGTAGTAGTGGGCCATTCGGTTATAGTCGGTGTAGTAGTAGGCCATCAGGTTATAGTCAGTGTAGTAGTGGGCCATTCGGTTATAGTCAGTGTACTAGTGGGCCATTTGGTTATAGTCGGTGTAGTAGTGGGCCATTCGGTTATAGTCAGTGTAGTAGTGGGCCATTCGGTTATATCCGGTGTAGTAGTGGGCCATTCGGTTATAGTCGGTGTAGTAGTGGGCCATTCAGTTATATCCGGTGTAGTAGTGGGCCGTTCGGTTATAGTCAGTGTAGTAGTGGGCCATTCGGTTATAGTCAGTGTAGTAGTGGGCCATTCGGTTATAGTCGTGTAGTAGTGGGCCGTTCGGTTATAGTCGGTTTAGAAGTGGACCATTCGGTTATATCCGGTGTAGTAGTGGGTCATTCGGTTATAGTCGGTGTAGTAGTGGGCCATTCGGATATAGTCGGTTTAGAAGTGGACCATTCGGTTATATCCGGTGTAGTAGTGGGCCATTCGGTTATAGTCGGTGTAGTAGTGGGCCATTCGGTTATATCCGGTGTAGTAGTGGGTCATTCGGTTATAGTCGGTGTAGTAGTGGGCCATTCGGTTATATCCGGTGTAGTAGTGGGTCATTCGGTTATATCCGGTGTAGTAGTGGGCCATTCGGTTATATCCGGTGTAGTAGTGGGTCATTCGGTTATATCCGGTGTAGTAGTGGGCCATTCGGTTATATCCGGTGTAGTAGTGGGTCATTCGGTTATATCCGGTGTAGTAGTGGACCATTCGGTTATATCCGGTGTAGTAGTGGGCCATTCGGTTATATCCGGTGTATTAGTGGGCCATTCGGTTATATCCGGTGTAGTAGTGGGTCATTCGGTTATAGTCGGTGTAGCAGTGGGTCATTCGGTTATATCCGGTGTAGTAGTGGGCCATTCGGTTATATCCGGTGTAGTAGTGGGTCATTCGGTTATAGTCGGTGTAGCAGTGGGCCATTCGGTTATATCCGGTGTAGTAGTGGACCATTCGGTTATATCCGGTGTAGTAGTGGGTCATTCGGTTATATCCGGTGTAGTAGTGGACCATTCGGTTATATCCGGTGTAGTAGTGGGCCATTCGGTTATATCCGGTGTAGTGGAAACGAATATTCAAGAAAGAGTGGAATAAACTGGAGGAAGTCAATCAGTTCCGGGTGTGGTAGACATTTGAACAGCATAAAACAGTGAATAGTGTTAGGTCCTTACTGTATCGGCTCTGTACTGGAGGGTACTATTTACGTGACAATCATCTTATTGTGTTAATATAGATAAGTGTCATTTAAGAGGTATTGAGTATGAATGTATTTATTTAGCCATGAAATTCGAGTAAATCTCTCTCTCTCTCTCTCTCTCTCTCTCTCTCTCTCTCTCTCTCTCTCTCTCTCTCTCTCTCTCTCTCTCTCTCTCTCTCTCTCTCTCGTTACTAAAAATGATAATTATTTTGAGCCATCTTGTAATGCATATATGCAATTGTTTTTCTTCTAAAGGAAAGGACAAGATAATATGTTTAAACTAAAAGCTGGCTAGACATGACGTGACGTCATTGACAGCTAATTCGCACCACTTTCAGTCATTCAAAATTCCTTCTTGAATGGGTCGGTCACATTCACAGCGGGTATACATACAATAATCCGTTGTTTTATCTTGTTTATTTTTTGTGTACATTGTAAGATATTTGAATATTTTACACTGTTGTAGACCGTTTTTGTTCACATCATTGTTCACCATGTGAATGTAAACAGATATTCTATCAATACAAAAAGAAAATCCAACAGACCCGCCGCAAGGTGGCGTGTTGTCATAGACTCCTCCACTCAATATCAAGTGGGCCAAGCTAAATGTGTAGATTTTTTTATTTTTGTTTTTGTTTAATGTTTTTTTTTCATCGAGAAATGAAAAGAAAAAAATCGACGAATCAGAAAGCAGCATTTTGCGTACAAACAACGACTAGTTAATTATTATACAATGTAATTTTTGTTATGTTTGCCTACATTGACCCGGTAAGTCGGATGTTGTGAGTCTTGGTGAGTCAACTTAGCAGTATTGTACTTTAAAGAAACTTCTACTACTGATGAAACATATACCTTTACCACTGTGTTGAATTTGAAATTAAAAAGTTCAAAATTCTCTCCGCTGGATCTTGATTTGATTGAAAATGGGTCTGACTTTTCTTTGTCATCTTTGGACCATGGAAAGAAAACATCACGAGTATTTCCAATACTTTCGCGTTAATTTTCTAACGTAATTTTCAGTATGACCATCACTGATCGAACATTTTAGCATATCATTAACCTTTAAATTATATATTGCAAGATTTTGAATAAATTGTCCATTAACTTTTAGGGTTCCTGTGAAATGTTTGATACAACAGTAAACTTGTCTCTTCATACGATTAGTTATTGGCGGGAGTCGCATATATGCAAACATGTCTATATATATACTTTATTGGTAAAAACAATATAATACAACACGTAGAAGGAAGGTATAACCTTTATCAAACACTTTGTACAGAAACTAAAGGTTGTGCTGCAGGAGGGAACAACCCACGGGGAATTCTACAGTGGTGATTCCTACATACTTCTCAAGGTAATATATACTCTGTATGTGTATGTTGTGTACTGTATGATAAATCGATAAATGGAGAATATCACACCGAAAAACAAACGTATTTAAATACACCAATCAAAAACCAATTAGTGTTACAGAACGTAGTGATGTTATCAAGGTGTAATAACTTGTGAGTATAGCGATACAAAAATGGAGAAATATCGATTCTTACACTATATATCAATGTCGATTCTAATTTAACTTTATTTAATAAATTTCTCAGACGAATAAAAACGCGAAATCTGACAAACTGGATTGGGATGTTCACTTCTGGTTAGGAAACGAAACATCACAGGTAAGCGTATCATACATGTGGGTTTTGCGACAGAGAGATAAATATCAGTATTGTACGTGAGAAATTATACAAACATATACGTCCTCTCTAAACAATCAGTTTTTAAATGCATTATTCGGTTATTGAATCCATTTTGAAAATGTTTAGGAATGTATTTTCTGATGATAACGGACAGATTTTGTAACATCACAGTTCAATGTGTTTGTGACAGCTACATCAATATAAGGGTTTGCATTTTGTAACTTATCATAACAATGGTAACTTGAAACATAGACTGGGCCTGTACGTAAACAGAATCATACATTTTATGTTGTTCATTCTATATAAGGATGAGCAGGGAGTGGCTGCCTATAAGACGGTGGAGCTTGACGATTACCTCGGGGGAGCGCCTGTTCAACACAGAGAGGTAAGTAACCACACTGTATGGCCTCTTTGGGCGAAATTCTGTACAGCCAAGAGAGGTAAATAGCCACGCACATTCTAGACTACCTTAAGGGAGGACCTGTACCGTACAGAGAGTATCCACGCCCATTCACGACTTCCTCAAGGGAAGGTCTGTATCATACAGAGAGGTGTGTAGCCACGCCCTTTCACGACTTCCTCAAGGGAGTGACTGAACCGAACAGAGAGGTGTGTAGCCACGTCCTTTCACGACTATCTCAAGGTAGGGCCTGCACGGCACAGAGAAGTGAGTAGCCACACCATTTCAAGACTACCTAAACTGGGGGTCTATACCTTACAGAGCAGTGAGTAGCCATGTCCCTTCACTACTACAGCAAGGGAAGGTATTTCCATACAGGGAGGTGAGTAGCCACGTCCTTTCACGACTCCCTCAAGGGAAGGTTTGTACCGTACAGAGAGGTGTGTAGCCACGTCCTTTCACGACTATCTCAAAGTAGGGCCTGTACGGTACAGAGAAGTGAGTAGCCACACCATTTCAAGACTACCTAAACTGAGGGTCTATACCTTACAGAGCAGTGAGTAGCCATGTCCCTTCACTACTACAGCAAAGGAAGGTATTTCCATACAGGGAGGTGAGTAGCCACGTCTTTTCACGACTTCCACAAGGGAAGGTTTGTACCGTACAAAGAGGTGAGTAGCCAGGCCCTTTCACAACTACCTCAAGAGAAGGTCTGTACCGTACAGAGAGGTGAGTAGCCACGCCCTTTCACGACTTCCTCAAGGGAAGGTTTGTACCGTACAAAGAAGTGAGTAGCCACGCCCTTTCACGACTTCCTCAAGGGAGGATCTGTTCCGTACAGAGAAGTGTGTAGCCACTCCCTTCCACAGCTTCCTCAAGGGAAGGTCTGTACCGTACAGAGGTGTGTAGCCACGTCCTTTCACTACTATCTCAAGGTAGGGCCTGTACGGTACAGAGAAGTGAGTAGCCACACCATTTCAAGACTACCTAAACTGAGGGTCTATACCTTACAGAGCAGTGAGTAGTCATGCCCCTTCACTACTACAGCAAGGGAAGGCATTTCCATACAGGGAGGTGAGTAGTCTTTTCACGACTTCCTCAAGGGAAGGTCTGTACCGTACAGAGAGGTGTGTAGCCTCGCCCTTTCACGACTCCCTATAGGGAAGGTTTGTATCGTACAGAGAAGTGTGTAGCCACGCCCTTTCACTACTATCTCAAGGTAGGGCCTGTACGGTACAGAGAAGTGTGTAGCCACACCATTTCAAGACTACCTAAACTGAGGGTCTATACCTTACAGAGCAGTGAGTAGTCATGCCCCTTCACTACCACAGCAAGGGAAGGTATTTCCATACAGGGAGGTGAGTAGTCTTTTCACGACTCCCTATAGGGAAGGTTTGTATCGTACAGAGAGGTGTGTAGCCTCGCCCTTTCACGACTCCCTATAGGGAAGGTTTGTATCGTACAGAGAAGTGTGTAGCCACGCCCTTTCACTACTATCTCAAGGTAGGGCCTGTACGGTACAGAGAAGTGTGTAGCCACACCATTTTAAGACTACCTAAACTGAGGGTCTATACCTTACAGAGCAGTGAGTAGTCATGCCCCTTCACTACTACAGCAAGGGAAGGTATTTCCATACAGGGAGGTGAGTAGTCTTTTCACGACTCCCTATAGGGAAGGTTTGTATCGTACAGAGAGGTGTGTAGCCACGCCCTTCCACGACTTCCTCAACATAATCAACCAGATAAACGTAAATATACAATGTATCACTAATGTAAACATCAATATACATTATTGGTGTTATCAAATTGTTTACATGACTGATATAATCATAGATTATACACTACGGATTTCATTCCAATGCTTATTCTTTCTCTTTTTCTCTCTAGGTACAGGATCACGAATCAAAATTGTTTTTATCCTACTTCAAGCACGGAATCAAGTAAGATTTTAACTTATTATAAATGTTTAATTACAAATGTGCGATGGGACACAGCAACAACAGGGCACCAAAACGATAGATAAGTCTACACTATCGGACACGGGGGACACCAAAACGATAGGTAAGTCTACACTACAGGACACGGGGGACACCAAAACGATAGGTAAGTCAACACTACATGACACGGGGGGACACCAAAACGATAGGAACGTCAACACTATCGGACACGGGGGGACACCAAAACGATAGGTAAGTCAACACTACAGGACACGGGGGGACACCAAAACGATAGGTACGTCAACACTATCGGACACGGGGGACACCAAAACGATAGGTAAGTCAACACTACAGGACACGGGGGGGGGACACCAAAACGATAGGTACGTCAACACTATCGGACACCAAAACGAAATAAGTTCAGGCAAAACTAGGACTTGCGAAAACATCAAAACAAAGACAGATCAAAACAAGGAGGCAATTTATGTCACATCTTAACATGGAAAGACACCAAAACGATTGATGAGTCAACACTACAGGACAGGGATGGGGTGGGGTGGCACCAAAATAAGGATAAAAATAAGGACAAGTAAAGATAAAGACATAGGGAGGCAAGGTTAGCCAAACAAAGACATGGAGAGTCACTAAAAAGATAATTCATCACTAGGAACCAGGTATATCATAACACATGGACACACCAAAACCAAGAAACCATGAAATATACACCACAAACAATAATCTGTTATGTGTGGGATCGATAGTCAAACGAATGTGAAGGAGACGAACTATGATCGAGAAAACACACACAACTGGTAGGAGACGTTGACTATATATTGGAGATAGGTTACGTTAAACGATTACCTTATTGTCTATCAATAAAAAAACTGAGGTGAACTATCGACTCAGTGTATAACAAGTGACAAAAATAAACAGGCTATTCAGCTGTGTTTTACTTTGACTAGGTACCTTTCCGGGGGCGTGGAATCTGGCTTTAAAAAAGTCGAGAGAGGAGTATATGAGAAGAGGTTATTCCACATCAAGGGAAAGAGGAATGTCCGGGTCCGACAGGTACGGATTATTCCTTCGTGTACAGCACCACATGTAGGTACAACGACACTATGTGGGGGTCACCGACATGTGTGTATGCTGTGTATGTTGGGTCTCAGCTGTGTTTGACGTGGGCTCGGCAACCCGAATCGTTCCCTGTGAACTAAGCGGCGATAAAGCATTCTCTGACAGAACTCAGAATTAACTTGTAATTTTACCCAGAACTTTGACACTGGTTCGGAAATAATGTCGAAAAGCCATTTCAACAAAATGGTACATTTTATTTTCTAAGACGATTTTTTAAAAATGTTTTTCTTCTGAAGAATTATTGTGAAAAAAAAATTTAAGACGTCGTTAAAGTGAGTAGGATGTGACTGTAGGTACGGTGTGACAGTAGGTACGGTGTGACTGTAGGTACGGTGTGACTGTAGGTACGGTGTGACTGTCACTGATCATCATGACTTCTGTTGGTAGGTACGGTGTGACTGTAGGTATGGTGTGACTGTAGATACGGTGTGACAGTAGGTACGGTGTGACTGTAGGTACGGTGTGACTGTCACTGATTATCATGACTTCTGTTGGTAGGTACGGTGTGACTCTAGCTCCCTTAACCAGGGAGACGTATTCCTGTTGGACTGTGGGATGACCCTCCACCTTTGGAATGGACCATCGAGCAGCCATTTCGAGCGATTAAAGGTGATCGATTGTAGGGACGTTGATGCTGTCTGAATTAACTGTTTTTATAGTACCATTGATTGATTTGATCGATAAATTAAAGGAATGAACTGATTCCATCATACAAAATAAATTTCACTTTTATTGAAGGTTTGATCAAATAAATACTTCCTTAATGGTTAGTTGTGAATAGAAATAAACAAATACCGTTTTAACTGAATATGTTCAGTTGATCGTTCCCAATAATAAATATATATATACATAACCAAGGAACGAACGAATGAGAAAGAGAGAGACAAAATATGTGATCTGTAATCCTGTTCCAGGGATCAGAAGTAGCGAAGAGGATTCGTGATGACGAACGATCTGGGAAGGCGGAGATCAGAATCATTGGTAAAATCAGTATTTTTTTTCTTTTAAAAACTGAAATTGATAATAAGTTATAAATGGGTTTTCTGTAGACCAGAAATCGCACGGGTTGTATAATTTTGTTATCGTGTGATAAGCTCTAGACATCAGGGTCCATATTAATGTTTTCAATGTACGTCTGATCTCTGGTGTTATACAGACAGGTTCTGGGACATAGACGCGAAGTTTTTCGATGCGCTAGGTTCTCATGGTGAAATAGCAGAGGAAGCCCTGGGCGGAGACGATACTGCCTACGAGCGCTCTTCCCAGGAAAAGACAACATTGTACAGGTATGTCGCCAATTACTATGGATTGGAGTTATCTCGCTTGTCACACCAGTGTTAAACCATGCTGATCACGGGTTATTGTAGAGTTTCAGATTCATCTGGAGAATTAGAAGTGAAAGAAGTCGCCAAAAAACCACTGTCACAGAGTGATCTTGACTCGAATGTACGTAGTTTTACATTACATAAACATACAAATATAGATTGAATACTTATATGTAGAATGTCGAAAACTCTTATCAATTTACTCAAATATGAGAATCTTTAATTCAAACACGCATCTTACAACAAGTCTGGTCTTAGAACTGGGGTAAAAGGCTTGCCGGAAGTATTATTTAAGTATATCCTTATCTTTTCGTTATTTTGTCATCAAACCCTTAGTAATTATATAAACATCAAATCTGTACTATACCTGTGCCATAAAACACCTGTACATTACCACAAATTTACAATATCTCACCTGTTTCATTCAGCACCTGTGCCATACCACAACTGTACCATACCACAACCGTACCATACCACACCTGTACCATACCACACCTGTACCATACTACACCTGTACCATACCACACCTGTACCATACTACACCTGTACCATACAACACCAGTTCTATTCCACACCTGTACCATACCACACCTGTACCATACCACACCTGTTACCATACCACACTTGTACTATACCCCACCTGTACCATACCACTCCTGTACTATACCACACCTGTACCATATCACACCTGTACAATACCACACCTGTACCATAACTGTACCATACCAAATCTGTACCATACCATATCTGTACCATACCACACCTGTACCATACTACACCTGTAACGTACCATACCTGTACCATACCACACCTGTACCATATAATACCTGTACCATAGCATACCTGTACCATACCACACCTGTACCATATCACACCTGTACCATACCACACCTGTACCATACCACACCTGTACCATACTACACCTGTACCATACCACACCTGTACCATACTACACCTGTACCATACAACACCAGTTCTATTCCACACCTGTACCATACCACACCTGTACCATACCACACCTGTTACCATACCACACTTGTACTATACCCCACCTGTACCATACCACTCCTGTACTATACCATACCTGTACCATATCACACCTGTACAATACCACACCTGTACCATAACTGTACCATACCAAATCTGTACCACACCTGTACCATACCATATCTGTACCATACCACACCTGTACCATACTACACCTGTACCGTACCATACCTGTACCATACCACACCTGTACCATATAATACCTGTACCATACCCCACCTGTACCATAACACACCTGTACTACACCACACCTGTACCATACCAAACCTGTACCATATCACACCTGTACCATACCACTCCTGTACTATTCCACACCTGTTCCATATCACACCTGTACAATACCACACCTGTACTATACCACACCTGCACCATACCACACCTGTACCATACCACACCTGTTACCATACCACACTTGTACTATACCCCACATGTACCATACCACTCCTGTACTATACCACACCTGTACCATATCACACCTGTACAATACCACACCTGTACCATAACTGTACCATACCAAATCTGTACCATACCATATCTGTACCATACCACACCTGTACCATACTACACCTGTAACGTACCATACCTGTACCATACCACACCTGTACCATATAATACCTGTATCATAGCATACCTGTACCATACCACACCTGTACCATATCACACCTGTACCATACTACACCTGTACCATACCACACCTGTACCATACCACACCTGTACCATACTACACCTGTACCATACAACACCAGTTCTATTCCACACCTGTACCATACCACACCTGTACCATACCACACCTGTTACCATACCACACCTGTACTATACCCCACCTGTACCATACCACTCCTGTGCCATACCATACCTGTACCATATCAAACCTGTACCATAACACACCTGTACCATACCACACCTGTTCCATACCAAACCTGTACCATAACACACCTGTACCATACCACACCTGTGACATAGTTACCAGAACCATAACACTCCACGTCCAATTTACACCTGGATGGCAGCACACCTGTATGACAGCACACCTGTATGGCAGCACACCTGTTACATACACATGTTGCTCAATATCTTTTCAGGACTGTTTCATCCTGGACACAGGGGCGAGTGGTATATATGTGTGGATCGGCAAACACTGCAGTCAGAATGAAAAAAAGTCTGCTTGGAAACACGCAACAGTGAGATGATTATTGTAAATTAATATACAAACTCAAACAAGTTCTTTAGTGACCCCATACTCTACTTTTACTTTTCTGGTGAAATCATGACAATGGTTATTGTGTTATACATGGTATAGAACGACTGAACCGACGCGTGATTAAGTTAAAGGAACTTTGCTCAAATAAACAAAGACTTGAACCCAATCTAGTGAATATTGTCTCCAAAAGTAAATAAAAATTAATTAATTATATAAAATACAAATTATAGATAAAATGCAAAAAATAAATCATGCCACGTTTCGTCAGAAATTTCTTAAAGAAACAGGCTTCTGACTACTGTGAACTGTTTATAGTAAACAACGGATACAATTTCACTACCGCCTTGGTTCGCAGGTTCAAGGATGATTTACAAAGTTTTTTTTATAACTGTCAACCCTGTCATTAAAACAAGTGCTTTAGAAATAATTCTAAGTATATTTTTGCAAAGTTAATACATATGTATAAATTCAACAAAATAGCTAAAGTGGTAGATATATCTAAGTTTGAATATATTTAAAACTTTGCCCGTTTTGTGTACGTTGTACATGTAGTCTGGAGATGAAGCGACGTTAGTCCTTTAAGGTGTCTACAGACAGCTTATAATGTTTTGAAATTGGCCAGTAGTAGTATGTTATGTTAAACAGAGAGAATGATACGGTCCATCAGTGTCCGACGGACATGTAAACACAATATCATAAACATTCTTTCCTACCTAACCTTTTGGGTAGGATTTCCTCTCCTTGAAAGGTTATCCCGAGTGGACCAAGGTCACAAGACTGGCGGACGGAGGGGAAACGCCAGTGTTTAAGGAGTACTTCCGGTCATGGCGCGATCGAGATGACCAAATGGGACTCGGAAACACGTACACTAAGGAAAACATCGCCAGTACGTATAGAACGATCTGATATCGTACTCAATGAACGTATATCGGAAAGGTACCGACATACCTTGTATACCTACAAAAGGGATAGATCCGCGTTCTGGTGTCTATCACGGGAGATCTGCTCCATAATAAATATTACTGTACCTAGGTAAGGCCTGGACGTAGGATTTATGGAGACACCTGAGTAATACCCAGAGGTCAGGTCTGATATCATTGGTCTGTTATCATTGGTCTGGTGTGGTATCATTGGACTGGTCTGGTATCATTGATCTGGTATCATTGGTCTGGTATCATTGATCTGGCCTGGTATCATTGGCCTGGTCTGGTATCATTGATCTGGTATTATTGATCTGGAATCATTGGTCTGGTATCATTGGTCTGATCTGGTATCATTGCTCTGGTCTGATATCATTGGTCTGGTACCATTGGTCTGGTATCATTTGTCTGGTCTGTTATTATTGATCTGGTCTGGTATCATTGGTCTGGTATCATTGGTCTGTTATCATTGGTCTGGTCTGGTATCATTGGTCTGGTATCATTGGTCTTGTCTGTTATCATTAGTCTGGTCTGGTATCATTGGTCTTGTCTGTTATCATTGGTCTGGTCTGGTATCATTGGTCTGGTATCATTGGTCTAGTCTGTTATCATTGGTCTGGTCTGGTATCATTGGTCGGGTCTGATATCATTGGTCTGGTCTGTTATCATTGGTCTGGTCTGGTATCATTGGTCTGGTATCATTGGTCTGGTATCATTGGTCTGGTCTGGTATCATTGGTCTGGTCTGGTATCATTGGTCTGGTCTGGTATTATTGGTCTGATATCATTGGTCTGGTATCATTGGTCTGGTCTGGTATCATTGGTCTGGTATCATTGGTCTGGTATCATTTCTGGTCTGGTATCATCTGGGTCTGGGTCTGGTATCATTGGTCTGGTCTGGTCATTGGTCTGGTCTGGTATCATTGGTCTCATTGGTATCATTGGTCTGGTATCATTGGTCTGGTATCATTGGCCTGGTCTGGTATCATTGGTCTGGTATCATTGGTCTGGTATCATTGGTCTGGTATCATTGGTCTGGTCTGGTATCATTGGTCTGATATCATTGGTCTGGTCTGGTATCATTGGTCTGGTCTGGTATCATTGGTCGGGTCTGGTATCATTGGTCTGGTCTGGTATCATTGGTCTGGTATCATTGGTCTGGTCTGGTATCATTGGTCTGGTCTGGTATCATTGGTCTGGTATCATTGGTCTGGTCTGGTATCATTGGTCTGGTCTGGTATTGGTTGGTCTGGGTCTGGTATCATTGGTTGTCTGGTGTCTGGTCATTGGTCAGGTATCATTGGTCTGGTCTGGTATCATTGGTCTGGTATCATTGGTCTGGTCTGGTATCATTGGTCTGGTATCATTGGTCTGGTATCATTGGTCTGGTCTGGTATCATTGGTCTGGTATCATTGGTCTGGTATCATTGGTCTGGTATCATTGGTCGGGTCTGATATCATTGGTCTGGTCTGATATCATTGGTCTGGTATCATTGGTCTGGTATCTTTGGTCTGGTTTTATTGGTCTCGTCTGGTATCATTGGTCGGGTCTGGTATCATTTGTCTTGTCTGGTATCATTGGTCTGGTATCATTGATCTGGTATCATTGGTCTGGTAACATTGGTCTGGTATCATTGGTCTGGTATCATTGGTCGGGTCTGATATTGGTCTGGTCTGATATCATTGGTCTGGTATCATTGGTCTGGTCTGGTCTGATATCATTGGTCTGGTATCATTTGGTCTGATATCATTGGTCTGGTATCATTGGTCTGGTATCTTTGGTCTGGTATCATTGGTCTCGTCTGGTATCATTGATCGGGTCTGGTATCATTGGTCTGGTATCATTGGTCTGGTATCATTGGTCTCGTCTGGTATCATTGGTCTGGTATCATTGGTCTGGTATCATTGTTCTGGTCTGGTATCATTGGTCTGGTCTGGTATCATTGGTCTGGTCTGGTATTATTGGTCTGGTCTGGTATCATTGGTCTGGTCTGGTATCATTGGCCTGGTATCTTTGGTCTGGTTTCATTGGTCTCGTCTGGTATCATTGATCGGGTCTGGTATCATTGGTCTGTTATCATTGGTCTGGTCTGGTATCATTGGTCTGGTCTGGTATCATTGGTCTGGTATCATTGGTCTGGTATCATTGGTCGGGTCTGATATCATTGGTCTGGTCTGATATCATTGATCTGGTATCATTGTTCTGGTCTGGTATTAATGGTCTGGTCTGGTATCATAAGTTTTTTCTGTTATCATTGGCCTGTTATCATTGGTCTGGTTTGGTATCATTTGTCTGTTATCATTGGTCTGGTCTGGTATCGTTGGTTTGGTATCATTGGTCTGGTATCATTGGTGTGGTCTGGTATCATTGGTCTGGTATGGTATCAACTGTCAGGTATCATTGGTCTTGTCTGGCATCATTGGTCTGGTTTCATTGGTCTGGTATCATTGGTCTGGTCTGATATCATTGGTCTGGTATCGTTGGTCTGGTATCATTGGTCTGGTCTGGTATCATTGGTCTGGCATCATTGGTCTGGTTTCATTGGCTGTTATCATTGGTCTGGTATCATTGGTCTGGTATCATTGGTCGGGTCTGATATCATTGGTCTGGTCTGATATCATTGGTCTGGTATCATTGGTCTGGTATCATTGGTCTGGTATCATTGGTCTGGTATCATTGGTCGGGTCTGATATCATTGGTCTGGTCTGATATCATTGGTCTGGTATCATTGGTCTGGTATCATTGGTCGGGTCTGGTATCATTTGTCTTGTCTGGTATCATTGGTCTGGTATCATTGATCTGGTATCATTGGTCTGGTATCATTGATCTGGTATCATTGGTCTGGTAACATTGGTCTGGTATCATTGGTCTGGTATCATTGGTCGGGTCTGATATCATTGGTCTGGTCTGATATCATTGGTCTGGTATCATTGGTCTGGTCTGGTATCATTGGTCTGGTCTGATATCATTGGTCGGGTCTGGTATCATTGGTCTGGTCTGATATCATTGGTCTGGTATCATTGTTCTGGTCTGGTATTATTGGTCTGGTCTGGCATCATTGGTCTGGTCTGGTATCATTGGTCTGGTATCATTGGTCTGGTCTGGTATCATTGGTCTGGTATCATTGGGCTGGTAATAGTGGTCTGGTATCTTTGGTCTGGTCTGGTATCATTGGTCTGGTCTGGTGTCATTGGTCTGGTCTGGTATCATTAGTCTGGTATCATTGGTCTGGTCTGGTATCATTGGTCTGGTATCATTGGTCTGGTCTGGTGTCGTTGGTCTGATTTGGTGTCGTTGGGCTGGTAATAGTGGTCTGGTATCATTGGTCTGGTCTGGTATCATTGGTCTGGTCTGATATCATTGGTCTGGTCTGGTATCATTGGTCTGGTCTGGTATTATTGGTCTGGTCTGGTATCATTGGTCTGGTCTGGTATCATTGGTCTGGTCTGGTATCATTGTTCTGGTCTGATATCATTGGTCTGATCTGGTATCATTGGTCTGGTCTGGCATCATAAGTCTGTTCTGATATTATTAGGTTGGTATCATGGATCTGATCTTACCAGTCTAAACCAGACCACGCTGCACCTAGCCATGTTTTATAAGATGCCGACTGAGACACCGAGTTGTTTAATACCGACAGAGATAAGAAGAGGAATATTTTCCAGGTGTTTGTGTATTGGTTTTTTATGATTAATGTATGTTCTTTAGATACTTTCAAATTTTATCGAGATAAACCCGAGCAGCGAAGGAGGATCAAAGTCAAGCAATAAATGTTATGATGGCCTCCAGATTGAAACAAATACTTCGTTCAGGCTAATCTTTTCGATTTTTATTGCCTGTGGTGTTTTTTGTGTAGCCTTGAGAATCTAGAGTTACACTTGTAGCGACACAGTTGGGGCGACCTTGGGTGACTTGGGCGTTTTGTATGATCAGAGTACATTTCTCGCTCTTTGCCAATGTGACCCTCTCAGTCCTTTGGAATATTGGCAAAGTTACATAAATATTATAGTGAATATGAGTGGGCTACGGTAGCTCCTATATGTAACAAGATATATGTTCTGGTTGACAAGGAGGATTAATCTAACGACCATCGAAACTAATACTTTGCTTTATTGCATTTGTTTTCCACAGAAATAAACACAGGTTCAGACAAAATAGATTTCAAGGATTTACAAAGACCACGATCGGGTAGAGATGAGATAGTACCGCCCGTGGTATCTCCGTATACAGACGAATCCATAAAGGTACGTCTCCATGGCTGGTGTAATGGGTACAGTGGGCGTGGTGTCCACATCACGTAAGCTCTGGATCAGAGAAATCTAGAAATAAGTTTCAAGAATAACCCATTAAGTTATCGTAGCTTCAACAGCAGGGTGTAAATCATAAACACGGCCCTTAACTAAACCTTCTGCAATTTATTTGACAACTTAACTCAATTAAGTATTTAGATATCGTTCAATTTCCATGTAACGCCAAACTTTTTCTAAATTATTAACAGACGTGATTTATTATGTAATTACATGAAGAAATGGCGAGTTGAAACCACGGAGATGACTCTAATCGAACCAGAAGAGGTCAGCGTATTCTCGTCAAAATCTTGCTACGTCATCTTGCACTGCTATCGTGATAACCTGACACAACATCACGTGGTTTATTTCTGGCAGGTACGATTCACTATATAGATAGTAGAGTGCATAGGGAAGACTAAGTATAGAATATCAGATGCACTATACTATTCAAAATGTCCGTCCGTACGCCCGCCAGCACTTGCGTTTCCGCCTGGTTTACCATATATGGAATATATTTTTTCATGGATATTGCTTCAGATCATACAGCTTAGCGACGCCTCACTTGGTAAAATTCGTCTTATGCCTAACAAGTTACGTTGTAGTGACCTCTGACATGGCAACAACTCACGTAAGACCTTAAAGCAAAGCGACGCCTTACTTAGCAATATGTCTCCTTAGGCCCAACAGGTTATCGACACTGTTCTTGGCGCTATGTCGCTTAAGGCCTTACGGTTTAGAGACACCTTAAATGACAGCACTGTTTAGGACTTACAGGGTACCGACACTTGGTAACATCTCGATTTATTTCTCAAACATCCAAACACGAATGATTATCGGTTCTGTGACCCGACAAAGATGAATCAGTGCAACGTTTAGGTACTGGCTCTATGTTTGACGTTTGTCTTTGTGTTTGCGGTAAAGACGAGTTTTGAGTTGTCAGAATGACGGGGTCTGGTGGTGTATCGTGCTACCAAGGTTAAGTCCCACACTACCAAGGTTAAGTCCCACGCTACCAAGGTTGAGTCCCATGTTACCAAGGTTGAGTCCCATGTTACCAAGGTTGAGTCCCATGTTACCAAGGTTAAGTCCCATGCTACCAAGGTTAAGTTCTATGCCACCAAGGATAAGTAATTTCAGTTATATGTGGACAACGTGGTATTTGACTTTAATCATTTTAAAGTAAAGCGCAGACCAAGTACATGATTACTAGATTCATCTTTTCACGTGTAAATCACGTGTGGCATATACACCATTCTTAGATAACATTGATCCTGTACACGTGGTTATACCATCTGATCACGTTGGTAATGCTTGGCCAGATTTACCAAGCAGAGCTCATTCTATTGGCTCTCTATCGAAATACAATCTCTAAGGAAAAGTTATTGGTAACGATACAATTCCCCTAAACACTCCCGTTACTAACGTTCAAATTGGCACGCTCTAACTAAAGGCTGAATCAGATGTTAGCTACAAAGATCATCACAGGTCTAATGTCATAACAGTTTGTCGTCAAATGTATTCTTTAAACATATCATCCAATTACAGGCTGTTTCAATTCTCAAAACATTCGCAAATTAAAGCTGTAATCTAAATGTTTCCATTTCTTGCAGAAATTATGAAAATTTCGTAATTTACCTTTTCAATATGTGTATTTACAAGGTATTTATTCTGTCCTCAAAACTAGATCAATCGAAATCCCTTGTTTTCATCCTTTTTCGTACTTCAGTATTGTTCTTTGTTTACGTAGGGTTCGCGGAGTCGTTCGGACGTGAGAGCCGCCTCGGCCATTGTGGCTCGTAGAACAGACGAAATGGAAGCGGGCGGCCATGCTCTCCAGGTCAGGCAAAATCATTACTATCTGGGATCTTAACGATCGGAAGAGTTGTTTACCAGAATAAAAAACTATTGGGTGAGCCCGATGCCGTCAGATATAATTTTCGATCATCTTGGTAAAGTTTGTAATGCAGATGTGTTCTGTCTGCTACAGGTACGAGTTCTGGAGGGTAAAGAGCCCGACATGTTCCTCCTCTTGTTTACGGGACAGATGCTTGTGTTTATGGTAAAGTCTTTGTTGTTTAACTTTGGTATATTGACTCTAATGAACACAGATAAATATCAGAGATGTCTATTTTTATCCAGCTATATATGGTACAATAACAGTGTACATCTTAATTTTGAATTTACGGTATCGTTGCTGTGAATATTTAGTGAGAGGGGATACTTGAACGACATTAAATACTATGTTAAACTCCTCGAAAAATTGCTGACTAAGAGTAACGTTGATTAAGTCCTAAGTAGGGAAATGATTGAATTTCTAGTTGACAATGTCTTCATTGACGAACTGACCCCTCTGTTTGTTTTTGTTTTCATTTACACCGAAGATCGTGTCGTTTTTATATAACCTTCGGTATCAAGACTACCTATAACCTATATAACTACATGTATATTTATTGCCTTTCCAGTTTGAATACAAGACTTGGTCGGAGATAACACAACGGAAACGTCTGTTCCATATACGTGGTGAATGTAGAGTGAACTCAAGGACAATCGAGGTTAAGTGAATTTTAAATCCAACGCGAACAAAGAACCCACTGTAAACCAATATGACGTCATGGCTCTGTGACGTATAATAACTTTTTGTTGAACACCACGACGGTATTGTTATCTGATACACACTCGACGTGTTACGTTATAAAACATCAAATGCCATGTCCTGATTTCTTTATTTAGGTTGAACCGTCCTCATCATCGTTAAACTCCCAGGATACATTTCTGCTCATCAACGGTAAGACCACCGTTATCTGGAAGGGGAAGGTGAGTATATGTCATGTGACCTGGAGGTTTAGAATGACCTTTTGTCACCTTGCCAATCGTCGTTCGTCACCTCCAATATGGCTGATCAATTTTCAACCATATTTCGTTTGAAACATTATTGAAAGCGGGCAATCATGTTTTTCATGATTCCACGTTTTAATTCATTCGAATAGTGACATGGTTCAGAATATACAAATGTACTATACATTGTTCTGAACTAGCTGATGTATGAAACTTAGGAAATTTATTGAATTATGGGGTTATTGCACCTCCTTCCAGGCATCAAATTTTAAGCCCTTGGCATCACTGACGAGTCCTATACTGACGAAACACCTGTATGATGTAACATCACTGACGAGTCCTATACGAACGAAACAGCTGTATGATGTAACATCACTGACTAGTCCTATACGAACGAAACAGCTGTATGATGTAACATCACTGACGAGTCCTATACTGACGAAACATCTGTATGATGTAACATCACTGACGAGTCCTATACTGACGAAACAACTGTATGATGTAGAATCACTGACGAGTCCTATACGGACGAAACAGCTGTATGATGTAACATCACTGACGAGTCCTTTACGAACGAAACAGCTGTATGATGTAACATCACTGACGAGTCCTATACTGACGAAACATCTGTATGATGTAACATCACTGACGAGTCCTATACTGACGAAACATCTGTGTGATGTAACATCACTGACGAGTCCTATACTGACGAAACATCTGTATGATGTAACATCACTGACGAGTCCTATACGGACGAAACAGCTGTATGATGTAACATCACTGACTAGTCCTATACGGACGAAACATCTGTATGATGTAACATCACTGACGAGTCCTATACGGACGAAACAGCTGTATGATGTAACATCACTGACGAGTCCTATACGGACGAAACAGCTCTATGATGTAACATCACGGACGAGTCCTATACGGACGAAACAGCTGTATGATGTTCAATGTACTGTTTGTCGATACTGCATTTAGCTCTTAATTTGTATTAAAATGTGCAATTCACTTTTGTGGCTTTTGCACAATCTATAAAACTTAAGGTCTAGCAATTCCTAAGGACCAATGCACGAGTTATATCGGCGGAAAATTGGGAACTAGGCCTTAAAACTCTTTCCCGCACATGTACCTTGACGCGTAATAACGAAATGGCCTCTATCTGGAGGAACAGTTGGCGAGGAAAATCATTATTAATATCGCTGAATGTATTGCTACCCCTAAGAGCCAAAGGGCGAATCCCGTAAGGGATAATTTGGGATTAAGACATTAAAATCGCACGCTTGGACAGACTTCAAAGTTGGAATGGAACATCAGTAAAAGAAGGAAATCGTTGAACAAATGAAGTCGGTACGACTTCTCGGGACAGGGGTCGCCTCAAAGGGCAGTTTGCGAAATGTTTGCTTTAAGACGCTACTCTGCGGAAAATTGCGGGGCCCGCATGGGAAATAAGCTTAAAGAGGTCCTTTAGATCGCTACTCTTTCTTAAACTGAAAACCTGAATGTATTCCAGTCAGATTTGGTCTGAAACATCACTTACAGAGGACAATAATTATTTCTTTATGCATAGAAATTTAATATGACACCCTGGTTACTAGCTGGGGGAGGGAACGAGACGAGGTCCCATCCGAGAAGTTAGCTGACTTTTTTCTGTACAACTCTATTCTCCTTTAATGCTTGTCTGGAATTCAACCCAATTCCGACGGAAACAATGTTGCGAGGAGCCAATCATTTCTGTAAATATATGAAACTGACCTACGAGGGGGAGGGTCTAGGCCCCAAATAGTCTAAAACATCATTGGTGGATGTTTCTTAGAGAAATAAAGTTATGTGACCCAAAGTGACAGGAAAGGGGGCAAGGCCCCAAAGGTGAACTCAGATAAAGGTTTGCTTTTAAAACTCTTCTAACCCTTTATGACATATGCCTTTCTGAATTTCGACTGAATCTGGTCGGAACAGGATCTGGGGAAGACAATCATTTCTGAAAAAACATGAAACCGATTCAAATTCAGGAAGACATACTTCCTAACCACGTGAGTGGATTATAACCAAATATGGTCTGAATTATCATTGGGAAAGTTCAACCACTAAGTAAATTCAGGTGACAAAGTGTTTTTCCTATTTTTTCAATGGATAATTCCTATATTGACTAAATCCTCTGGATGTTTGATGATCAGATGATCAATAAGACCTTTAGATGACTTTTATACTGATACTGTTCTTTGAATGATTTATCGAAATGTAGTACATTTACTCATTTATCATTGTTAAGATTTGTTCATGATTTCAATATAAAGTACTCTATCGAAAGATAACCAACCAATTATTTTCCAATGATATGTATTGGTGTTGTAGCTCTCCAACAGCAATGAACATACTATATCTCAGGAGATGGCAGGATACATAGCTCCTGATAAGTAAGTGAAGTGTTCTATAATCATATCTAGTTACTGACAAGTGGAGTATTGTACAGTGTATAATCATATCTAGTCACTGACAAGTGGAGTATTGTATAATCATACCTAGTCACTGACAAGTGGAGTATTGTATAATCATACCTAGCCACTGACAACTTGAGTATTGTATAATCATATCTAGTCACTGACAAGTGGAGTATTGTATAATCATACCTAGTCACTGACAACTTGAGTATTGTATAATCATATTTAGTCACTGACAAGTGGAGTATTGTATAATCATATCTAGCTATTAACAAGTGAAGTATTGTATAACCATACCCAGTTAATGTCAGTATATTTAGTGCCTGAAATACAAATAGCAGTTTTACGTAGGCCTATAACGTGTACCAACATATCAGCAGAATCATAATCCAAAATCAAAACAAAACATTCAATAAAATATGGTGGGCAAATATGAACAAAAAATTCAATAAAACATTGGCAAATATGAACGGGGAAAATTTATACAGAGACTCCTGAAAAAGTACAATGAGAATAAGACCAGGTGTTCAGGAAGGTTAAGCATCTTCTGTTATATTGATGAACACCTGCCAGGTAAGTTTTGGTCAATGTCGCGTTCCCAAGTGAAAACAAAATAAAACATGGAATGTGTATAAAGCGCGTCCTACTTCATACTGCTCACTAAAGTAGAATACTTATCAACGAGATCACTACGACGACAGTAATGGTCACCAACCGACATCTCTCGAAACCCTGTATTGACAATTTTTTCTGCCACTTGTCGACGTCTTGAATATCGAATCCACTGCCATAAGTTGGGAATGCAGAAACGTTACTATCCGAAAATGAAAAATGAGTAGGAAAATTCAAATCATCATCGTTATCATACAGCTTTGTGGAAAGCTGTCCTCATTGACTTCGTTGTAGAAAAAAGATCGAGATAAGCGTCTGTTTACGAAGAGTCTGTCGTGTCTTTGATTTCTAATTCTGGTTGCTTATACGATGGGCCTAGTAAGTAAACCTCATGTAATTTAAAGACAAGACGTCGTCAAGATATCTTGAAGTGAAATTTAAGTACTATTCAAGGTCTGTGTGACCTGATTTGATAAAAAAAAACCCTCTTCATTGAAATCAGCCGCGTATGAAAACAACATCAAGTTTGCCAACAGGACACAGTTTGGTCCCTTAGGTATGGTAATAGGCTGCTTGAAGATCTTACTTATAAATTCGACGCAGATATTGACAGCATGAAAACCAATCAATTTTATGATTTCATCCTCTGTATGTTTTTCTTTGGTTGAGCTGTATTTTCACGAAATACGCTTCGGTATAATTCACAACCATGTATTTGTAAGCCGTCCATATTTTATGTAAAAGAAAGACCTCGTAACAAGAGAACGAAGGCGTTCCTTTAAGTTAGAATAGGGTATGGTGATGTATAAATTAAAAAACAAATGTTCGTATGGAAGACATTTTTTCTAGAAGAGAGCGTTGAAGATTGACCAAGAGCTCTTTGGGGTTCTTTACAAACCATTATTTCTACTTCTTGAGTAAACAGTATCATAATAAGAAAGTAATCTTGATATAATAGTCAGGTGTTTGGATAAATGTTTGGTGGAACAGCTAGAAGTGCCAGCAATTAAACACTGTTTGTATGAATTATTGTAAAGGTAAGGAATCCAGTATAACCGGCAAGTTCCGTAATATTATCATTAATAGGCAATCTAAATTATTATAGTATTGAAGAATGTTTACAAAATATTTCTTCTTTGAGAGGAAAGATTGCATAATGAACAGGTGGAGTTTCCTTCGTAAGAAACAAGCCTAGTTCGCTTTGTATACAGGGGATGTAATAAAGTCTGCAGAAAAGTATGAAGTGTTTGGAAACTTCTGAAGGCATGAAAACATACCTGTCCTGTAAACCAATGTATTTCCGTTACCAGATCTCACTGAAATACATTGATTTATTCTTCAGATAGCTGTTATATTGTACATAAGTAATGTGTATACGACAATCGTAATACACATACAGTTTAGACTGGTGAGGTGATCTTGGGTTTCTGAGCTATGTGGTAAATTGTGTGGTGGAAAGTCACCAGAAATGTTTTCTCTATATTTAAACCTTTAAGCAATACAAGTGGTTCAAGGAAACCGATAAGATATGAAAATAAATAATTTAACATTTATCTATATGGATTTCAACTTCAATGTGTATCACTTACAATATGCAATAACTACAATACTTTTATTAGGTTAAATGACATATGGATAAGAAAGCGTTAGTACTGGAAGGGAACTTGAAATTCCATCCGTCTATCCATGTAAACTGTTATGTAAATATACCTATCTATATATTTTTGTTTATTTGTAGTGTTATCGAGTGTGTGTCCGAGGATGAGGAATCTGAGGCTTTCTGGGAGGCACTGGGAGGGAAATGTGACTACGCCAAATTTCACCCTACGGCGGTTAGTGATATCGTATTTTACTTATTTCCTGTTAGAAATCATGTCATTGTTTTTAAAATGTTAATTACTAACATCAATAAATTTCATGTCTTATATAGGAAACACAATGGTACCCGCCACGACTGCTGCATTGTTCGAACACGACAGGCAAATTTAGGGTAGATGAGGTGTTCAACTTTACCCAGGAGGTAGGTAATGTCTGCCATACGCCCTAACAAACGCCCTAAAATATATATCGATATCAAGAATTCACAGAAATATGGAATTATCTTATTTCAGTTGTTATATTTGATATTGTAGGATCTTTGTGAGGATGACGTGATGTTACTTGATACTCACCAAGAGGTACGTTGTTTAGATACTAGATACTTTATACTGGGTACTTACTATTCACAGGGAGTTAGTGGATTCTGAGTGACAACTTTATACTGGGTACTTACTATTCACAGGGAGTTAGTGGATTCTGACAGACAACTTTATACTGGGTACTTACTATTCACAGAGAGATAATGGATTCTGACTGACAACTTTATACTGGGTACTATTCACAGAGAGATAATGGATTCAGAGAGTTAATGGATTCTGACTGACAACTTTATACTGGGTACGTACTATTCACAGAGAGATAATGGATTCTGACTGACAACTTTATACTGGGTACGTACTATTCACAGAGAGATAATGGATTCTGACTGACAACTTTATACTGGGTACTTACTATTCACAGGGAGTTAGTGGATTCTGACAGACAACTTTATACTGGGTACTTACTATTCACAGAGAGATAATGGATTCTGACTGACAACTTTATACTGGGTACGTACTATTCACAGAGAGATAATGGATTCTGACTGACAACTTTATACTGGGTACTTACTATTCACAGAGAGATAGTGGATTCTGACTGACAACTTTATACTGGGTACTTACTATTCACAGAGAGATAGTGGATTCTGACTGACAACTTTATACTGGGTACTTACTATTGACAGGGAGTTAGTGGATTCTGACAGACAACTTTATACTGGGTACTTACTATTCACAGAGAGTTAGTGGATTCTGACTGACAACTTTATACTGGGTCTGACAACTTTATACTGGGTACTTACTATTGACAGGGAGTTAGTGGATTCTGACAGACAACTTTATACTGGGTACTTACTATTCACAGGGAGTTAGTGGATTCTGACAGACAACTTTATACTGGGTACTTACTATTCACAGGGAGTTAGTGGATTCTGACAGACAACTTTATACTGGGTACTTACTATTCACAGAGAGTTAGTGGATTCTGTCTGACAACTTTATACTGGGTACTTACTATTCACAGAGAGATAGTGGATTCTGACTGACAACTTTATACTGGGTACTTACTATTCACAGAGAGATAGTGGATTCTGACTGACAACTTTATACTGGGTACTTACTATTCACAGGGAGTTAGTGGATTCTGTCTGACAACTTTATACTGGGTACTTACTATTGACAGGGAGTTAGTGGATTCTGACAGACAACTTTATACTGGGTACTTACTATTCACAGGGAGTTAGTGGATTCTGTCTGACAACTTTATACTGGGTACTTACTATTCACAGGGAGTTAGTGGATTCTGTCTGACAACTTTATACTGGGTACTTACTATTCACAGGGAGTTAGTGGATTCTGTCTGACAACTTTATACTGGGTACTTACTATTGACAGGGAGTTAGTGGATTCTGACTGACAACTTTATACTGGGTACTTACTATTCACAGGGAGTTAGTGGATTCTGACTGACAACTTTATACTGGGTACTTACTATTCACAGAGAGATAGTGGATTCTGACTGACAACTTTATACTGGGTACTTACTATTCACAGAGAGTTAGTGGATTCTGACAGACAACTTTATACTGGGTACTTACTATTCACAGGGAGTTAGTGGATTCTGACTGACAACTTTATACTGGGTACTTACTATTGACAGGGAGTTAGTGGATTCTGTCTGACAACTTTATACTGGGTACTTACTATTCACAGGGAGTTAGTGGATTCTGACTGACAACTTTATACTGGGTACTTACTATTGACAGGGAGTTAGTGGATTCTGTCTGACAACTTTATACTGGGTACTTACTATTGACAGGGAGTTAGTGGATTCTGACTGACACTTTATACTGGGTGTTTACTATTCACCCAGAATTAGTTAAACGATTCGGACTAAGCAGAGATATGACTATATGATATATCATTTAGATGTTAATGATTTGTTTGAGTATATGTTAAGGAATGTATTACAGTTATATGAGAAGAATCACGTGTTTATCAATGCTATTTAGATATTTGTATGGATAGGAAGAGGAGCGAATCGACAGGAAAAGAAGGACGGTCTTCAGTCAGCAATGGTAAGTCAATTATGTATCATACAAACGTCCAGCAAAATAAATCAAATTATCATTTTACCGGTGTGTGTGACCTTACATATACTGTTAATGTAAGTAGTGGTATAGATCAGGAATGTATTCTCCCATGTAAGATTTCAATATCCGATATGTGTTACGTTGGAATACCAGGGGCTCATTCAATCTGTATCACCGAGGACTATCAGAAACTCCTCGATGTGTTAAGGACTATGAGGAACTCATTTGACGTGTTACTAAGGACTATGAGGAACTCATTTGATGTGTTACTAAGGACTATCAGGAACTCATTTGATGTGTTACTAAGGACTATGAGGAACTCATTTGATGTGTTACTAAGGACTATGAGGAACTCATTTGATGTGTTACTAAGGACTATGAGGAACTCATTTGATGTGTTACTAAGGACTATGAGGAACTCATTTGATGTGTTACTAATGACTATGAGGAACTCATTTGACGTGTTACCAAGGACTATGAGGAACTCATTTGATGTGTTACTAATGACTATCAGGAACTCATTTGATATGTTACTAATGACTATGAGGAACTCATTTGATGTGTTACTAAGGACTATCAGGAACTCATTTGATGTGTTACTAAGGACTATCAGGAACTCCTTTGATGTGTTACTAAGGACTATCAGGAACTCATTTGATGTGTTACTAAGGACCATCAGGAACTCATTTGATGTGTTACTAAGGACTATCAGGAACTCATTTGATGTGTTACTAATGACTATCGTGAACTCATTTGATGTGTTACTAATGACTATCAGGAACTCATTTGATGTGTTACTAATGACTATCAGGAACTCATTTGATGTGTTACTAAGGACTATCAGGAACTCATTTGATGTGTTACTAATGACTATGAGGAACTCATTTGACGTGTTACCAAGGACTATGAGGAACTCATTTGATGTGTTACTAAGGACTATCAGGAACTCATTTGATGTGTTACTAATGACTATGAGGAACTCATTTGATGTGTTACTAAGGACTATCAGGAACTCATTTGATGTGTTACTAAGGACTATGAGGAACTCATTTGATGTGTTACTAAGGACTATCAGGAACTCATTTGATGTGTTACTAAGGACTATGAGGAACTCATTTGATGTGTTACTAAGGACTATCAGGAACTCATTTGATGTGTTACCAAGGACTATGAGGAACTCATTTGATGTGTTACTAATGACTATGAGGAACTCATTTGATGTGTTACTAATGACTATGAGGAACTCATTTGATGTGTTACTAAGGACTATGAGGAACTCATTTGATGTGTTACTAAGGACTATCAGGAACTCATTTGATGTGTTACTAATGACTATCAGGAACTCATTTGATGTGTTACTAAGGACTATCAGTAACTCATTTGATGTGTTACTAAGGACTATCAGGAACTCATTTGATGTGTTACTAAGGACTAAGGACTATCAGGAACTCATTTGATGTGTTACTAATGACTATCAGGAACTCATTTGATGTGTTACTAAGGACTATCAGGAACTCATTTGATGTGTTACTAAGGACTATGAGGAACTCATTTGATGTGTTACTAATGACTATGAGGAACTCATTTGATGTGTTACTAATGACTATGAGGAACTCATTTGATGTGTTACTAAGGACTATGAGGAACTCATTTGATGTGTTACTAATGACTATGAGGAACTCATTTGATGTGTTACTAATGACTATGAGGAACTCATTTGATGTGTTACTAAGGACTATGAGGAACTCATTTGATGTGTTACTAATGACTATCAGGAACTCATTTGATGTGTTACTAAGGACTATCAGGAACTCATTTGATGTGTTACTAAGGACTATCAGGAACTCCTTTGATGTGTTACTAAGGACTATCAGGAACTCATTTGATGTGTTACTAAGGACTATCAGGAACTCATTTGATGTGTTACTAAGGACTATCAGGAACTCATTTGATGTGTTACTAAGGACTATTAGGAACTCATTTGATGTGTTACTAAGGACTATCAGGAACTCATTTGATGTGTTACTAATGACTATCGTGAACTCATTTGATGTGTTACTAAGGACTATCAGGAACTCATTTGATGTGTTACTAAGGACTATGAGGAACTCATTTGATGTGTTACTAATGACTATCAGGAACTCATTTGATGTGTTACTAAGGACTATCAGGAACTCATTTGATGTGTTACTAAGGACTATCAGGAACTCATTTGATGTGTTACTAAGGACTATCAGGAACTCATTTGATGTGTTACTAAGGACTATGAGGAACTCATTTGATGTGTTACTAATGACTATCAGGAACTCATTTGATGTGTTACTAAGGACTATCAGGAACTCATTTGATGTGTTACTAATGACTATGAGGAACTCATTTGATGTGTTACTAAGGACTATCAGGAACTCATTTGATGTGTTACTAATGACTATCAGGAACTCATTTGATGTGTTACTAAGGACTATCAGGAACTCATTTGATGTGTTACTAATGACTATCAGGAACTCATTTGATATGAGCTCAATTAAATAATCTGTATAATTTAGAACTACTTGGAGCTAGTTCGATATGTTTTATCAGGGTTTATTCGGAGCTTATTTGACCTGTATTTTTATGACCATTCGGAGCTCATTGACCTGTGTTGTTAAAGACTTCTGCATCAATATCTGGAGCTCATTTTATCTTTATTCTTCAGGACTATCTAGCGGCAGATGAGACTGAACGAAACGAAGGCAATACTCTGCTTCTACAGCTTAAACAAGGTTATGAGCCCGCAATGTTCACCTCCCACTTCCAGGGATGGGACAGTCAGAGATTTACCGTACGTATCCTAATTACAAATATTACTGCATTGAAGGGGCTATTTACTAAACTAACGAGTCGATCAGGTTATGTGGTCGTCTCGTTCCTCACGGTTTCAATGAAGTGTAGATCTCAGCGGTACTCGTGACATTACACGATGTATCACACCTGAATCACGCTGCTTATTTAGACCAGACAGCTTCTCCTATCTCCCTTAATCGTGAATAGAAAAAAAGAGCGTAAAACGACTCAATAATTCAGTTTCAACTTGAGAAAAAGGGAGAGAACTAATATATAAATAAGAATACAACAAAAAATTCAATGATCATGTCAATGATCGAGATATTGTTAACAAAAGTGTTTTAGATTAAAGAGTAAATCGTATGTTAGCGTTTCGAGAAATAACTTAAAAACGTATTCACGTTATAGGCTGTAAAGGCACACCACATGGTCAGTTGTACACATTTACACTGCTTAGTCTCCAAAGAAATCTAACAAATAACAATGTGTTATAAATACTTAGCCATAGTGATGAGGTTTACTTACACAGGTCCCAAATGTTGACAGACATCTCAGACATCCAAATGTAATGTTACATGATATATGCGTTTGCAAATGTAAAACATCAGTTTAATCATGTGTTCTATTTTGCTGCGGTGTCAATAACAGCCAAGTGGCGCCACCTACTGATTCCTGTAATCTATGGCGGTTCAATTGAACTCGCCGCTGTTCTATATATATAAGGTTATTTCTTTTTCAAATGCTTTATGAATAAAATCTGAGATCTATCCATCATACGACGTAGGTATAGGTAACTCTGTCCGAGTAGCTAAATAGTTTAGATTAAACGGATACATAGACTGTATGTTATATACTATCACTACAAATCATGGTATATTGGTGTCATATCCTTTGTTACAACAGAATACAACGGAACAAATGTCCCAAATGGATACAGAAGAAAATTCTCAGTGTTACACGGTTCAAGAGGTATGTCAAGCTGCAGTGTATTTGTAAGGCAACACACTGATATCGCGATGTGCGATATATCGATGATGTATTTACATCCCTACATGTATGTTTGGCGATGTATGTACAAGTACTAAGAAGAATTAGAATCTTTAACTTTGATGTTATATATATATGTGTGTACCTGCCTTCGTTATGAACAATTTATAGACATTCCCCATGATAATCATACATTCGCATGTAATCGATGGGACATATGTCTTAGTTTATTGTACATGTAACGTCTCAGGCATGTAGTTAATACCCGGGGTTGGATATGATTTTTTAGGAACTAGCCCGATACAGCGCCACCTTCAGGTACGAGGAGTTAGTGGGCAGACTACCGCCTGTCGGAGTTGACCCGACCTGTAAAGAGGTAAGAAACATATCCTTGTATCTCATAAACGTTAGGAGTGTGGTCTGATTTCTTAGGATACAAACTCAAGGTCAAATATAGACTGGTTCACAGTAGTAAAATAGTTAGGGGTGTGGTGTGTTTGCATTACATCAAGGTAGGGGTGTGGTGTGTTTTCATAGATACAAACTCAAGGTCAAATATAGACTGGTTCACAGTAGTACAATAGTTAGGGGTGTGGTGTGCTTTCATAGATGCAAACTCAAAGTCAAATGGTGTGATGTGTTTTCATAGATACAAAACCTCAAGGTCAAATATAGACTGGTTCACGGTAGTAAAATAGTTAGGGGTGTGGTCTGATTTCTTAGGATACAAACTCAAGGTCAAATATAGACTGGTTCACGGTAGTAAAATAGTTAGGGGTGTGGTCTGATTTCTTAGGATACAAACTCAAGGTCAAATATAGACTGGTTCACAGTAGTACAATAGTTAGGGGTGTGGTGTGTTTTCATAGATACAAACTCAAGGTCAAATATAGACTGGTTCACAGTAGTACAACGGTTAGGGTTGTAGTGTGTTTTCATCGATACAAACTCAAGGTCAAATATAGACTGGTTCACAGTAGTACAATAGTTAGGGGTGTGGTGTGTTTGCATAGATACAAACTCAAGGTCAAATATAGACTGGTTCACAGTAGTACAATAGTTAGGGGTGTGGTGTGTTTTCATAGATACAAACTCAAGGTCAAATATAGACTGGTTCACAGTAGTACAACGGTTAGGGTTGTGGTGTGTTTTCATAGATACAAACTCACGGTCAAATATAGACTGTTTCACAGTAGTACAATAGTTAGGGGTGTGGTGTGCTTTCATAGATGCAAACTCAAAGTCAAATGGTGTGATGTGTTTTCATAGATACAAAACCTCAAGGTCAAATATAGTGGTGGTGTGTAGGGGTGTGGTCTGATAGATACAAACTCAAGGTCAAATATAGACTGTTTCACAGTAGTAAAATAGTTAGGGGTGTGGTGTGTTTGCATAGATACAAACTCAAGGTCAAATGGTGTGGTGTGTTTGCATAGATACAAACTCAAGGTCAAATATAGACTGGTTCACAGTAGTACAATAGTTAGGGGTGTGGTGTGCTTTCATAGATGCAAACTCAAGTTCAAATGGTGTGGTGTGTTTTCATAGATACAAAAACTCAAGGTCAAATATAGACTGGTTCACGGTAGTACAATAGTTAGGGATGTGTTGTGTTTTCATAGATACAAACTCAAGGTCAAATATAAGGTCAAATATATACTCAAATGGTGTGGTGTGTTGACAGCAGTATACAATAGTTAGGGATGTGTTTTGTTTTCATTTTTCAAATATATACTGGTTGACAGCAGTCGAGTTAATACTTTAGGTGTTAAAGATCCATTCAATGTGAATTGTTTGTCGTCTTGATCCATGTAGCAGGGATATTTATTTATATCAAGATGGCGATCCTACAAGAAGACTATTAGGGCAGTGGTGAAAGTTGCCCTTCTGGTGAAAGAATGATTCGGTGGGATTTATCAGCAGATCATTTTGGAGCCATCTCGGGCACAACTGATACCTAATCACTGGACCGCTTTCATTCAGAGGAACAGAATGTGTGCTGTTTTACCAGCACTGTTAAATGAATTCTGATCCTCACGATTACCTAACAAACTATGGTGACATAACTTTCATTCTGTTTCAAATCATATCAAATAACGACTGTATTTCTACATCTCTAACCATTCGACCAAGGGCGGAGACCAGTATGATATGAAGATTCCGCACGATTACCTGCCTGTACAACGGTAGTAATCTGGTTTAATTGAGCATTAGGAAAGACTATAAACTCTGTCATCCGTGTAGAAGTTTTTGCTAATTGACAAACATACTCGGGTGAAATAAGATAAGGATCGGCGCCAAGTGTTGGGTGGTTGATGCAAACGAATATGCAGGGTTTCATTGTTAGGCTTAATTCTTTTCGATAGTGGAATGCAATTTGCAAGCTTCACCGATACATGTCTTAGGATAGAACGTATCGCAAAGCAGATGTTTAAAAATAACTACATTATCAAACAATATGCACTCGCCTTTATCAAATCTTTTTTTTTAGTTTCTTCATATCAAATGTTTACACAAGTTTTATAGCTCTTAGCTACCATATCAAACAACATTATGGACTCGCCTTAATTGCTTATGAAGTTTTATCTGCAGTAAACCATAATTATGTTAAAAAATTAAATCACTGAGAATATTTAGTATGTTGTTGTTCTTGGTGGATCTGATATTGTTACTGCCCACACTATCACTGTTATGTTGTCACAGGTATACCTCTCGGACGCGGAGTTCCAGAAAATATTTGGACTTAACAGATCAGTCTACAAAAAAATGCCAAGATGGAAACAGATGAACTTGAAAAAGGACGTCGGGTTGTTCTGACGTGTAATCCTAGTATCTGGCTCAGCTGGACTACTCTCCCTTAACTTATATCACGACACAGTGTCCTTAATCCTAGTATCTGGCTCAGCTGGACTACTCTCCCTTAACTTATATCACGACACAGTGTCCTTAATCCTAGTATCTGGCTCAGCTGGACTACTCTCCCTTAACTTATATCACGACACAGTGTCCTTAATCCTAGTATCTGGCTCAGCTGGACTACTCTCCCTTAACTTATATCACGACACAGTGTCCTTAATCCTAGTATCTGGCTCAGCTGGACTACTCTCCCTTAACTTATATCACGACACAGTGTCCTTAATCCTAGTATCTGGCTTAGCTGGACTACTCTCCCTTAACTTATACCACGACACAGTGTCCTTAATCCTAGTATCTGGCTCAGCTGAACTACTCTCCCTTAACTTATACCACGACACAGTGTACTTAATCCTAGTATCTGGCTCAGCTGGACTACTCTCCCTTAACTTATATCACGACACAGTGTCCTTAATCCTAGTATCTGGCTCAGCTGGACTACTCTCCCTTAACCTATACCACGACACAGTGTCCTTAATCCTAGTATATGGCTCAGCTGGACTACTCTCTCTTAACTTATACCACGACACAGTGTCCTTAATCTTATTTACATTTTTTTTACCTTTTTTAATATTTCGAACATTTCTTGTCCGTAACGGTTGGATAGAGTTTTACATACAACATGCTTTGATCTGGAGGATCATTGATTAAAGGAAAGTCGTTGTTGCATAGCCAATACAGGGGCAGGAGGGCAATATTAGGAAGAGAAGGGAGTTCTTGAAACCGCATTGCCTTAAGTTTGGTTAAGTCTTCTAAACACTTCTCAGGGACACTTTTTGACATTTGTTTTTCGTATCATACTAAACATAGACAAATATAAGGGCTCATAAATATAAAATTTTGTTTAACGTCGTTTATATTTCAAAAACCACCCTAATCTCTATAGAGATTTTATTACGACGAAGCGAATAGCTGAAAGTAGAGGTGAACAATTTCAAATCGTTTCCAGCTTTAATGTGAAAGTTTTTTCTCAACCTTTCGGGTTGGTTATGTATGTTGTTTTAAAGAATGGTATTGTCCTCCTTTGCATCGAGAGGCAACTATAACCAGAAATGCCGTAAAAAGAATTTAATGTCGTCAGATTATTGGTCATGGTTGCTGATCATAATTGCAGGCTCTGTGGTTCTCTTTTAATATGTGATTATTCATAATGGTGTATGCAGAGACCACCCTGAACTTGCTAAAATTTTCATGATTGGGAAGCTGTCCATTTGTTGTCGTCAATCTACATGCTTGTCTCTGAGGAGTTACATAATCAGTCAGCCATGGATTGGTTAAACTCGAAATGGTTCCACAGGTGAAACTGAATCACCCTGCACGTGTCAAATAGTCACTCTACACGTGTCAAACAAGACAAGGGCACGTGATGGGTGTAACACACAGACGAACAGTCTACGGTAGTGTTATACCGAAGGTGAGCGACAGAACCAACACGTTTGTCCGTTAATTTCTGAACAACATATTACTCTTCACGTTTTATCTGCTGCCGAGACTCATGTTTTCTGTTTCAACTCTTAGATTTGTCCCGACCGGTCATATGTCTTTGTAATAAAATGGTTTTCAACATCTCCTTGTTCATTTTTTTTCAACATCACATTTTAAGTACCTCCGTCACTTATGTGGTGAATGAGTATAGAACTTTTGTTAGAACAACCTACTATGAGGACAATTTCTATCAAGAGTTGTCATTCTTAACACCGGATCTATCTATGCAGGAAATATTTAGCGTCGTCCAAAGCCACAAGGAGAAAATGGACGAGACAGGCTGGCATATCATTAATCAGAAAAGATAAATCCCTCTACCTGTACAAATCTATATAGGGGTCAGAAAAGGTAAATCTCTCTACCTGTACAAATCTATATAGGGGTCAGAAAAGGTAAATCTCTCTACCTGTACAAATCTATATAGGGGTCAGAAAAGATAAATCCCTCTACCTGTACAAATCTATATAGGGGTCAGAAAAGGTAAATCTCTCTACCTGTACAAATCTATATAGGGGTCAGAAAAGATAAATCCCTCTACCTGTACAAATCTATATAGGGGTCAGAAAAGATAAATCCCTCTACCTGTACAAATCTATATAGGGGTCAGAAAAGATAAATCTCTCTACCTGTAACTATTGTACAAATCTATACAGGGGTCAGAAAAGATAAATCCCTCTACCTGTACAAATCTATATAGGGGTCAGAAAAAGATACATCCCTCTACCTGTAACTATTGTACAAATCTATACAGGGATCAGAAAAGATCAATCCCTCTACCTGTACAAATCTATATAGGGGTCAGAAAAGATAAATCCCTCTACCTGTACAAATCTATATAGGGGTCAGAAGAGATAAATCCCTTTACCTGTACAAATCTATATAGGGGTCAGAAGAGATAAATATCTCTACCTGTACAAATCTATATAGGGGTCAGAAAAGATAAATGTCTCTACCTGTAACTATTGTACAAATCTATATAGGGGTCAGAAGAGATAAATATCTCTACCTGTACAAATCTATATAGGGGTCAGAAAAGATAAATGTCTCTACCTGTAACTATTGTACAAATCTATATAGGGGTCAGAAAAGATAAATCCCTTTACCTGTATAAATCTATACAGGGGTCAGAAAAGATACATCCCTCTACATGTAACTATTGTACAAATCTATATAGGGGTCAGAAAAGATAAATCCCTCTACCTGTACAAATCTATGTAGGGGTCAGAAAAGATAAATCTCTCTACCTGTACAAATCTATATAGGGGTCAGAAAAGATAAATGTCTCTACCTGTAACTATTGTACAAATCTATATAGGGGTCAGAAAAGATAAATCCCTTTACCTGTATAAATCTAAACAGGGGTCAGAAAAGATACATCCCTCTACATGTAACTATTGTACAAATCTATATAGGGGTCAGAAAAGATAAATCCCTCTACCTGTACAAATCTATGTAGGAGTCAGAAAAGATAAATCTCTCTACCTGTACAAATCTATATAGGGGTCAGAAAAGATAAATCTCTCTACCTGTACAAATCTATATAGGGGTCAGAAAAGATAAATCCCTCTACCTGTACAAATCTATATAGGGGTCAGAAAAGATAAATCTCTCTACCTGTACAAATCTATATAGGGGTCAGAAAAGGTAAATCTCTCTACCTGTACAAATCTATACAGGGATCAGAAAAGATCAATCCCTCTACCTGTACAAATCTATATAGGGGTCAGAAAAGATAAATCTCTCTACCTGTACAAATCTTTATAGGGGTCAGAAAAGATACATCACTCTACCTGTACAAATCTATATAGGGGTCAGAAAAGATAAATCTCTCTACCTGTACAAATCTATATAGGGGTCAGAAAAAGATACATCCCTCTACCTGTACCTATTGTACAAATCTATATAGGGGTCAGAAAAGATCAATCCCTCTACCTGTACAAATCTATATAGGGTTCAGAAAAGGTAAATCTATCTCTACCTGTACAAATCTATATAGGGGTCAGAAAAGATAAATCCCTCTACCTGTACAAATCTATACAGGGGTCAGAAAAGATAAATCTCTCTACCTGTACAAATCTATATAGGGGCCAGAAAAGATCAATCCCTCTACCTGTACCTATTGTACAAATCTATATAGAGGTCAGAAAAGATGAATCCCTCTACCTGTACAAATCTATATAGGGGTCAGAAAAGATAAATCTCTCTACCTGTACAAATCTATATAGGGGTCAGAAAAGGTAAATCTCTCTACCTGTACAAATCTATATACAGATCAATCCCTCTACCTGTACAAATCTATATAGAAAAGATAAATCCCTCTACCTGTACAAATCTATATAGGGGTCAGAAAAGATAAATCTCTCTACCTGTACAAATCTTTATAGGGGTCAGAAAAGATACATCACTCTACCTGTACAAATCTATATAGGGGTCAGAAGAGATAAATATCTCTACCTGTACAAATCTATATAGGGGTCAGAAAAGATAAATCCCTCTACCTGTACAAATCTATATAGGGGTCAGAAAAGATAAATCTCTCTACCTGTACAAATCTATATAGGGGTCAGAAAAAGATACATCCCTCTACCTGTACCTATTGTACAAATCTATATAGGGGTCAGAAAAGATAAATCCCTCTACCTGTACAAATCTATATAGGGTTCAGAAAAGGTAAATCTCTCTACCTGTACAAATCTATATAGGGGTCAGAAAAGATAAATCCCTCTACCTGTACAAATCTATATAGGGGTCAGAAAAGATAAATCTCTCTACCTGTACAAATCTATATAGGGGTCAGAAAAGATAAATCCCTCTACCTGTACAAATCTATATAGGGGTCAGAAATGATAAATCCCTCTACCTGTACAAATCTATATAGGGGTCAGAAAAGATAAATCTCTCTAACTGTACCTATTGTACAATTTATTTTTTTTTATTTTTGGTTATTGTACCATAACTAAGGTACCAATATAATGAGGGACATTGTTTTGTTCATGTACTACTGTGTATCTATGGAATATTGTATGACCCTCTCTGACCTTACTCTGAAGAAGGACTTCCTTGTGACCTTGTTTGACGAAAAAGGAATGACCTTGTATCACATCATTTTGTAGGTGGACTGACGTGTGTGACCTTGTATGACATAGGTATGTTGTTGGACAATCGTCTGACCTTGTATGACATTATGTTGTTGGACAATCGTCTGACCTTGTATGACATTATGTTGTTGAACATGAATAACCTTATTATATTGATTTACCATCTGTTTTTTCTTGTATGATCTTGTATGATTACCGTTTATGACCTTGTGTGACTTTGTATGATTACATACTATGACCTTGTATGACCTTGTATGATTATAGATCATGACCTTGTATGATTATAGATCATGACCTTGTATGATTTTGTATGATTACATACTATGACCTTGTATGACCTTGTATGATTACAGACTATGACCTTGTATGATCTTATATGATTACAGACTATGACCTTGTATGATCTTATATGATTACAGACTATGACCTTGTATGATTTTGTATGATTACAGATCATGACCGTGTATGATCTCATATAATTACAGACTATGACCTTGTATGCTCTTGTATGATTACAGACTATATGACCTTGTATGATCTTGTATGATTACAGACTATGATCTTATATGATTACAGACTATGACCTCGTATGATTACAGACTATTATCTTATATGATTACATACTATGACCTTGTATGATCTTGTATGATTACAGACTTTGATCTTATATGATTACAGACTATGACCTCGTATGACCTTGTATGATCTTGTATGATTACAGACTATGACCTTGTATGACCTTGTATGATCTTATATGATTACAGACTATGACCTTGTATGATCTTGTATGATTACAGACTATGACCTTGTATGATTACAGACTATGACCTTGTATGATTTTGTATGATTACATACTATGACCTTGTATGATTACAGACTATGACCTTGTATGATCTTATATGATTACAGACTATGACCTTGTATGATTACAGACTATGACCTTGTATGATTTTGTATGATTACATACTATGACCTTGTATGATCTTATATGATTACATACTATGACCTTGTATGATCTTATATGATTACAGACTATGACCTTGTATGGTCTTGTATGATTACAGAC